CATGGGTTGCCCTATGGGGTTTCCTTATGTCTATAGGTTGCCCCCATCCCATAGGGTTTCCCTTCTCCTGGTGCTCCTGTGGGGTGTTCCTATATCCCAAGGGGTTTTCCTGTGTCCTGTGGGGTTTCCCCATTTCCCATGGGGTTCCCATCTCCTGGTGGCCCGTGGGGCAGCCCTATATCCTACAGGATGTCCCTGTATCCCTTGGGGTGCCTTTGTCCCTTAGGGTTCCCATCACCTGATGGTCCTGTGGGGTGTCTCTGTAACCTATAGGTACCCTGGTCACTTAGGGTTTCTCATCTCCTGGTGGCCCAGTGGGGTGTCCCTATATCCCATGGGGTGTCCCTGTATCTCATGGGGTTCCCAACTCCTGATGGCCAGTGGGGCATACTTATATCCCATGGGGTGTCCCTATATCCCTTAGGGTGCCTTTGTCCCTTAGCATCTCTGGTGCTCCTATGGGGCGCCCCTATATATGGGGGACCCCTGTATGGGATCATGGGGTTCCTCATCTCCTGGAGGTCCTGTGGGGTTCCCCTATACCTGGTGAAGCATTCCTGTGTCCCATGGGGTGTCCCTATATCCCTTGGGGTGTCCCTGTATCCCTTGGGATTCCCATCTCACGGTGCTTCTGTGGGGGCATCCTTATATTCTGTGGGGTGTTCCTATAACCCATAGGGTACCCTGGTCACTTAGGGTTCCTCATCTCCTGGTGGCCCAGTGGGGTGTCCCTATATGCTATGGGGTGTCCCAGTATCCTGTGGGGTTCCCATCTCCTGGTGGTTCTGTAGGGTGTCCCTATATCCTATAGGATGGGGTATCCTTATATCCCATGGGGTTCCCCATATCCCATGGGGTTCCCATTTACTGGTGGGCCTATGGTTGTCCCTATATCCTATGGGGTGCAGTGTCCTTATATCCCATGGGGTTCCCCTATACCCCGTGGGGTTCCCACCTCCTGCTCATCCCATAGGACCCCCATCCTCCCCCCACACACCCTGGCAGTGCCGCATCCCTCGGCGCTCCCCACTCCTTACACCCCCCCTCCCTCCCCCAAACCCCAAACCCCATCACCCTATGGGGTCCCCCCCCTTTATCCCTATGGGGTCCGTGCCCCCCCCTCTCCCCCCCCTCTAGGCGTGGTGTACGACACCTTCATGCTGAAGCACCAATGCACGTGTGGGAACACCCACATCCACCCCGAACACGCCGGGCGCATCCAGAGCATCTGGTCCCGTCTGCAGGAAACCGGGCTGCTGGGCAAGTGTGAGGTGAGGGGGGGGGTGGGGGGCACAGTGATGGGATGAGGAGGGGGGTGTGTGTGTGGGGGGGGCTCAGCCATCTGCTCCCAACCCGTTTCTTTCCATCTCACCCCATAGCGCATCCGGGGTCGGAAGGCGACGCTGGAGGAGATCCAGGCGGTGCATTCGGAGCACCATGCGCTGCTGTACGGCACCAGCCCGCTCAACAGGCAGAAGCTGGATGGGAAGAAGCTGCTGGGTGTGTAAAAGGAAGGGGGG